TTGCCGTCAAATTTTCCTCAGAGCAGAGGAAGCGTTTGCCATATCTTTCCCATCTCTGAAAGTTTATTATTCCTGCCCTCTCATCACTCATTATCATCTGCTTTAACTGCACATTGAGTGGAATTTTACTGCTGTAGGGTAAAGCTACTGTGATCTTTTTATTTGCATGTTAAATGATCTCAGTTTGGAGGATTTTTTTTTTGAAAGACCTCCGCAAGTACAGTATACCATGCTGTTCGTCCTTATAACAAAGATACACAAAATAATATTTAGTAACCTTTATTTACATTTCTCCTGGTTTGTATTTAATATCTTTCCACATCAGTTTCTACAAATAATACATACTAATTATAACTCTATGGCCTTTTTATCTATGAAATACCACATTTTTATTCTGAAGATTTCATTACTTTAAGACAGTTTTAAAGTAAAATTTGAAACTCTCTTCCATTCATGTAATTGGACTTGGGATTTTCTCAGATGAGATGAGATATCTGCTTTTTGCACACTCAGTTTTCATTTTGTTTCTTGTCTGTCATTTTTCGTAACATCCTAAATTCACAGGAGTGGGAATAGCTAGTGTTGCTCGGTCCTGCTGACTTCCCTGCAGGTACCATTCTGGTTAACAATTGCAGTATAATGGAAACATTGGTGTTATCAGTGTTCTAAGCAGAAAATGAGACCCAGAAGGTTGAATAACTTGCTCAAAGTTGTATAATTCATCGCTCAGATCTGACTAGAGAGGCCTGGCCCTTGCCCCTCCTACTTTAGTGTAGTCACCATACCTTTCTTCAGATCCTGACTTTTACATTGCTGAGGCTCACTCCATCCATGTGAAACAATCACATCAAATATGCCTACTTGAGTTTTTATTAATGAGTCCATCTTTTATGTTTGTGCTGTGAGAATTTCCATATTTTTACACCAAACGGTTATAGATAGATTTTGCAGAAACACATTTATAGAGTCAGGGATAAATTTGTGGATAAATAAATCACAAAATCTATAAATTTTTAGTATGAATCTATCTTCATTGGTGCTACTTTATCAATCCTGAAGGAAGAAAGTCCAAGAAGTTTTAATAAATAGAAATTGACTGCATTGATTTCCCTTAATTTCACCATTATCAACATAGTTTAGTGGTGGACTCAGAGTCAAGAACAGCTTCATACATTACAACCTAGGTGAGGTTCTTTGGAGAGTTCTGCACTTACATATGCCAGGGCCAACCTTCAGTCACATTCTTTGTGCATGGGGCCACCCCAACTGGTACTACTTACTTACACTATGAAATGAGTGGCACCCCTGGGTTGTGCAGTACACAACCTCTACAACTCCATACCATGACCTACCTGGTATAAATATATTCATACAGAACCATGGAGAAATTTGAAGACATTGAACATGCCACTAATAACAGAAATGGAAACTTTTGAAAAATCATATTAAGTACTTAATTGCATATCATGACAGAATTAGAATTATAATATATATTTGTGTGTCAGTGCCCTACTCTAAATCAAAATTATTTGAGGAAGACTATAATTGTGAAAGCAGCTATGTAGATTTACATATATATTTATATATCTGAAAATAATCTATATATATATAGACATATTTGAATATTATATATGTTACAGATAAACACAATGGAAAGAAGCAATTATACTATTAACAAGAGCTAGTAAAGTGACTGTGACAGATGGCATATTCATTCCTGTGTTTACCAAGAACCAATATAAGGAATGGAATAAGTGGAATTTATTTCAACATGAGATTTTAGTTGGATGTTAAACAATTCAGTGGTATGCTTTGACTTGACCTAGAGTGTTTATAGTCTATCAAACTTGAGAGATAATCTATACATTTCACAAATTAGATGAGCTTATATGGAGTCAACACTTTGTTTTGAAACTTAAAAACCCAACCATGATTTTTGTTTTGTTTTTTTTGTTTTCTTATTCCTGAGATGGATGGTCACATCATTTCCATGTGAATATTTGGGTAAATTTATTTAGAATATACTTAGGAAAACTGGTTTTAATGATACACCCCCTATGTTAAACAATTCAGTGGTATGCTTTGACTTTACCTAGAGTTTTTATAGTCTATCAAACTTGAGAGATAATCTATACATTTCACAAATTAGATGAGCTTATATGGAGTCAACACTTTGTTTTGAAACTTAAAAACCCAACCATGATTTTTGTTTTGTTTTTTTTGTTTTCTTATTCCTGAGATGGATGGTCACATCATTTCCATGTGAATATTTGGGTAAATTTATTTAGAATATACTTAGGAAAACTGGTTTTAATGATACACCCCCTCAAAAAAACAGCATTAGATTCACAACAGAACTATGAGTCACTCCTAGTTTTTGTATACAAAATCATCCCATCAAGGAGTAAGGACTCATCTCTATGTTTACTGTCAGAGAAAATTATACATTCAGTTCATCTCTAAATAGTCTCAGACCATTATGATGTAAATGAAAAAATATCGGATTAAAACCCAGGTTTAGAATATATCACTTGAGATTTTGATCTTATCTTTCAGTACACTATACCTGGTAAAGCTAATTCTTGCAGTGGCAATAAAATGTACATTTTATAGATGCAGTAATAGTCAGTGCTTTTGACAATAGCTGATTTCTCTTCTAATCAAAAGCCAATGATGGGGTAGTAAAAAAGTGACAAAGTTTTATGTTACTCATGGCCAATCTCTTCATGCAGGTTTAAATCATAGTCAAGGGTAGAATGGTGATACCTGACATTCTGTGGTTTCTGGTATGAGATACTGGATTAAAGTTAAAAAAAAAAAAAGACTGGCATAAACACTGTTGAGTAAGTATCAGATTTCAGTAAGTAGAATGTTGTTCGTTATGAAAATGAGGCAGATTACACTGATTCAATTGTGAGGGTGTGACAGGGTACTGACTATTAGGTGTTAATTAAAGGCTTGTTGCCCACCATGTTAAACAGGCTTCAAATTGTTCGGCTGTCCTCTCCAATAAAAGCTGGAGGGAAGAGGCCTTCATTTCCCAAAGGTAGGATACCACTTCCAGTTTTCATCTGTCAGTGATATTTTGTGATGTGACTTGTGAGCAAGCCTCTTGTAAGTGGCTTTTGAAGACACTCTTAGAAGGTGTTTGAACAACTTAAGACTGCTTAGAGAGCTAATAAGGACCTTGAACGATTTCACCTTTATCTTCTAAGCTTTTCAGACATTGGTATCTTTTGAAGACAAAGAGAGAGAAGGAATAATGGGTAGAAATCATATCCAAATGAAAATGAGCACAGAATGACTAGAATAATCAGATTGGAAATCTGAGTATATTAGCATACAACAATGCAAGTTCATGATTATAGATGAGTCTGGCTAGGCTTTTCTTTTTCAGTTGGATATGCCAACCTACTCTTAAGTACCAAGATCGCAGAGAAAAGGATGTCCCAAGAGGTTTGTTTCCTGACTTCACCTGGGAGGAGTTAAAGAATGGAGATAGTCAAGCACTGGGAAGCACGGGAGCCCCTCTCCGTGTAGCTGGGTGACACTGTTGAGGAGGAGAGCCAGGCCCTGTTGGGCTAACAGATGGACCATGCTCTGAGCCAGAGGGTACACAGAGGTACGGAAGAGGTTCAAGGATGAAGCAAGAGATTTAAGAGAAGAACTAGCAGTTTGGGCAAGACAACATGAAGTAACCAGAAAGTCAGCTCCTAGTTCTCCAACTCTAGACTGGGAAAAGATGGATCCAGAAATAAGTTATAAAGGGAGGATTCTTTTTGTAAAATATGCTCATTTATTACTATCTATAGTCCCTTAGTCATATATTTTTTTCTGTGAAGTTTACTGTTTCCACATTAAAAGACTTTTTAAGGGAAAGCATTTTCTTTTTTTCTTTTAACCATATGATGATCCTATATAGCTGCCCACAGTAGGACAACATCATAAGTCATTAACATGCCATATGAATTCTGAATAAATAAAAGCCACAAAGCCCAAGTTATATACAAACATCTTAGGCAACAATGGCTACAAACCTATGTACAATAAAACAAATGTAAACAGTAAATGAATCATGAGAGTAATCAAAGGACGCACAAGAACGACCACTTACGGTCAGCCTGCCCCTCAGGAGCCGGCACCGGCCAGCTCCTGCAATCAGGCCACCCAACCCTCCCTAACACAACTGGATAGGCCCTCAGGACACAAAATAAAAATGCTCTGAAAGATGTCATTTAACTGAAAGACCAGAAAGCTGGCAAGAGGTTGCCACTGCCGCCTACCCTAAGTCTGAGGCACATGAGGAGGGGCAGACAGCACAGAGGCACAGCCCTGTGTGCCCAGGCCCTAGAGTCTCCTGCATCTGGGGCTTGGATGGGCACTTGGCTGCTCTGGAGGCAAGTCTATGGACTGATAATGGCTAAAGAAAAATCAGAAGGTGCAGAAAACACTTCCTAATTCAGTAACCTTCCTGACTCTTTGCCAGCAACAGGCCCACACCGTGGGGGGTGGAGTTGGAGGACTCACAATCATGAGCATTGAAGATGCCTGAGGGGAGCCTAGGAGGAGACCACATGTCAACCTGTGTTGGGGGAGAACTTCTAGAAGATCTGCAATGTCCTAAACACAACTAAATCCTATCAGTACAGCAGGGTGGCGGTGATGAGGCAGGTGTGATGATATGGGAACTTCTGCATCCAGTGACCAGGTAATACACATATGTATCACCTTGTGACCCACAAAAGTGCAATCATGTGATACCAGCGGCACTAGGGTGAGAAGAGAAAACAGCCAGTATTGATATCGCGCTGAGTCCTGGGGCTGGGCATGGCCCAGGGACCGCCACTGCATGCAACCTGCCTTCTGCCAGCCCTGGGGGGGCAGACAGAGGGGCACAGGCTGGGTCCAGGCACCGAGGGGTGAGGCGTGGGTGTTCTGGATTGTTGCAGGGCAGGAGCCCCCACCCGGAGGCCGGACACTCACACACAGAGGCAGCATACCCAGGGCTGACGACGAGGAGGAGGAGCTGGGTCAAAGCCGTTGACTGTTTATCGAAGAAAGATGTATGCCCTCATCGAGAGCTTTGTGCTATTGCTATTCATCACCTCACAGTTAACATTCCCTGAAATAGAGGATTTTCGTGATGCTTGGTTCTTTGCAAAATTCCTCCAAGCTGCCCATTTCTATTCTAAAGCCCCTGCTTTCCGTAAGAGATGCCCACGGTGTTTAGTGCTGATAATCCTAGCAGGAGGAGTTAGTGGACTGGTACCAAACCGTTTGGTACAGCTTTTGGTGAAGGAAAACTCTTTCCCATTCCTTTTTCAACAGGAGTGGCTGGCAAAGAAAGTGACACTTGGGCAGCAGAATCCATCTTTTCACTTTGTAGAGTTGTAGAACTAGGAGCTGACTTTCTGGTTACTTCCTGTTGTCTTTCCTGAACTGCTAGCTCTTGTCTTAAATGTCTCGCTTCACCCTTTAACCTCTGCACAGAGACCAACAAAGATTCCTTTTCATCAAGTTCACTTTTTAAAAATGCATTTTGTTCAATGGCCTGACGTAGCCTTTGTTCAAAGTCTTCCGTAGAAACTATTGTTGCCCTTTTTCTCGCTCCAGGCCCTCGTCATTGGCTTGCTCCGGCTCTCTCACATACTTAGGCAACTGCTCCTGAATGGCCCTAGTGTGACTTAAATCATCTTCTACTACTGAGACCTGCTTGCAGCTCTGTGGGTATTGATGCTCTAGCTTCTCCTTTAAGGCCTCCATTTCATATTTCAATCTTTCATTATCAACTTTCAAGTCTCTATTTCTATGTTCAGTCTGTACTAACCGTGCCTCCAACTCTGCTTCTAATTCTCTGCTTCCTTCCTGCAATTCAACTAGCTCATCCCGAGCTTTCCGAAAGCTTTGTTTATATTTGAAGGGAAGTTCCTTCCAGTAAGCAGTTTCCTCCTTTAAACTAGAAAAAGCTGGAATATCTTCACCATCGGCGATCAAGAAGCCTCCAACGCGTCAAAAGAGCATGTTTACCGCCTCTTGGCCGACGTCTCCGCTCCACTGGCCTGGACAGGCCCGCCCCGCCGCTCAGCTCTGCTCCCCTCCGCAGTCCTGAGCTCCACTCCACGCAGCTCAGCGCCTGGCTGCTCAACGACATGTCAGGTGTTGCCTGGGTGACAAACTGTAAGGCACGAGGGGTGGGGTTTGGAGCATGCGCACAAGGGCGCAGGCGGCCAGGGCACAGCTGCGGCGAGGATGGCGCCACAGGGGGACGGGTCAGGCCCCGTGCGCTAACGTCAGGCTGGCGGTGGCCTTCTGCGCAGATGCCCCCGAGCAGTGGGCGGGGCTAGGGGCTCGGTGGTTACCCGGTACACTTAGTTACTCAGGAAAGTGGCGCCACCGTCAATAAAAGTCAGCTTCCCGGTTCCTTCAAGTGTCAGTGTTTTGGTGTTCTTGTTCATAAGATGAACCTGGTGTCGGATTTCACCTCCGAGTCCATCTCCGTCAGCCCCAGCGTATAGGTGGTGTTCTGGCGCTCCCAACACTCACAAAGACCTGTGTTGTTTTATGGCACGTCCAGAAGCTGAACTTTTTTTTTCTTCTGAATGTTATTGATTTAGTTATTCATTGCAATTTTTTATAAAGGCATTATTCATATACATTCTTATGACAGTTTCACATGGAAAACAATGTGGTTACTGCATTCAGCCATATTGAGTCCTCCCTCCTACTCCATTGCAGTCACTGTCCATTAGTGAAGTAACATGCCAAAAAGTCACTACTTCTCTGTGCTTCGCTGTCTTCCCCATGATCCCCCCCCACACCATGTGTACTAATCATAATAGCCCTCAATCCCCTTTGTCCTCCCACACCCCACCCCTTTGGTAACTGCTATTCCCTTCTTAGAGTCTGTGAGTCTGCTGCTGTTTTGTTCCTTCTGTTTTACTTTGTTTTTATATTCCAAAAATAAGTGAGATCATATGGTATTTGTCTTTCTCTGCCTGGCTTATTTCACTGAGCATAATACCCTCCAGCTCCATCCATGTTGTTGCAAATGGTAGGATTTATTTTCTTCTTATGGTTGAATAATATTCCATTGTGTATATGTACCACATTTTCATTATCCATTCATCTACTGATGGACACTTAGGTTGCTTCTATTTCTTGCCTATTGTAAATAGTGCTTCAATAAACAGGGTTGCATATATCTTTTTGAATCTGAGAACTTGTATTATATGTGTAAATTAAATTCTTAGAAGGGGAATTCCCAGGTCAAATGGTATTTCTATTTTTAGTTTTTTGAGGAACCTCCATATTGCTTTCCACAATGGTTGAACTAGTTTACATTCTCATAAGCGGTGTAGGAGGGTTCCCCTTACTCCACGTCCTTGCCAGCATTTGTTGTTTTTAGTCTTTGAGGTGCTGTCCATCCTAACTGGTATGAGGTGATATCTCATTGTCCTTTAAATTTGCATTTCCCTGATAATTACCAATGTGGAATATCTTCATGTGGCTGTTGGCCATCTGAATTTCTTCTTCGGAGAAGTGTCTGCTCATATCCTCCACCCATTTTTTTATCAGGTTATTTGCTTTTTGGGTGTTGAGGCATGTGAGTTGTTTATATATTTTGGATGTTAACCCCTTGTCTGTATGTCATTTACAAACATATTCTCTCATACTGTAGGATGCCTTTTTTTTCTGTTGATGGTGTCCTTTGCCATTCAGAAGCTTTGTTGTTTGATGTAGTCCCATGTGTTCAGTTTTGCTTTTGTTTCCCTTGCTAGAGGAGATGCGTTCAGGAAAAAGTTTATATTCAGGAGATTTTTACCTATGTTGTCTTCTAAGAGTTTTATGGTTTCATGACTTATATTCAGGTCTTTGATCCATTTCAATTTTACTTTTGTGTATGAGGTTAAGCAATAATCCACTTTCATACTTTTGCATGTAGCTGTCCAGTTTTGCCAACAATAGTTGTTGAAGAGGCTGTCATTTCCCCCATTGTATGTCTGTAGCTCCTTTATCGAATATTAATTGACCGTATATGGTTGGGTTCATATCTGAGCTTTCTAGTCTGTTCTATTGCTCTATGGGTCTGTTCTTGGGCCAGTACCAAATTGTCTTGATTACTGTGGCTTTGTAGTAGAGCTTGAAGTTGGGGAGCATAATCCACCCCACTTTATTTTTCCTTCTCAGAATTGCTTTGGGTTCAGGTTCTTTTGTGGTTCCATATGAATTTTAGAACTAATGCTGTTGGTATTTTGATAGGGATTGCATTGAATCTATAGATTGCTTTAGGCAGCATGGTCATTTTGACAATATTATTCTTCCTATCCATAAGCATGGGATGTATTTCCATTTATTGATATCTTCTTTAATTTCTCTCATGAGTGTCTTATAGTTTTCAGGGTATATGTCTTTCTTTCACTTCCTTAGTTAGGTTTATTCCTAAGTACTTTATTCTTTTTGATGGAATTGTGAATTGAATTGTTTTCCTAATTTCTCTTTATGAGAGTTCATCATTAGTATATAGGAATGCAACAGATTTCTGTGTACTAACTTTGTATGCTGGAACTTTGCTAAATTCAGATATTAAATCTAGTAGTTTTAGAGTGAATTCTTTAGGATTTTTAATGTACAATATCATGTCATCTGCAAACAGTGACAAATTGAGTTCTTCTTTAATAATCCTTTTATTTCTTTGCATTGTCTGATTGCCATGATGAGCACCTCCAGAACTATGTTGAATAAAAGTGGGGAGAGTGGGCATCCTTGTCTTGTTCCTGACTTTAAAGGAAAGACTTTCAGCTTCTCACTGTTAAGTATGATGTTGACTGTGAGTTTGTCATATATGGCCTTAATTAGGATGAGGTACTTGCCCTCTATACTCATTTTGTTGAAAGGTTTTATAATGAATGGATATTGAATTTTGTCAAATGCTTTTTAAGCATCTTTGGAGATGATCATATGGTTTTTGTCCTTCTTTTTGTTGATGTGGTAGATGATGTTGATGGATTTTTTAATACTGTACCATACTTGTATTCCTGGAATAAATCCTACTTGATCATGATGGATGATCTTTTTGATGTATTTTTGAACTTGTTTTGCTAATATTTTGTTGAGTATTTTTGCATCAATGTTCATCAGGTATATTAGTCTGTAATTTTCTTTTTTTTT